TGGGGTCAGCCAACAGAGGAGTAGAATGAAAGGGCATGGGAACGAGGGTACATCCCGGCCCTGGCATGCAGCAGGGCAGCCAAGCACAGCACCACTGTGCCACCCAGCCAGCACTTTTCATTCAAATGTGGAATATAAACAATAGCTTTCTGGGCTCCACAGACAGAATTGTAACTAGAAAACATAACATCCTTCTGATTTGGGTCAGCCTTGGGAAACCAGTGTCAAAAAAAACCCCTGTATAATTAGCAAGTAGTTTTCACTGCTTTTGGTGACATTAGTTTTTAAGGTAGGTCTGAAGCTATAGATTATGGTCTTGAAGTGTGTATTCTGTCAAGGAAAACACAAGACCATCTGCTTTGAAAGGTGTCAGTCTGCACAGTAAATGACAAACTGAGGTTAATACTGCAATTTATTTAGGAGCCACCACATGCAGCAGGTAGCCATGAACTTGGGGCCAGCCCAGCCCATGGAAGCCAAAGGGTGAGTCTCAAAAGTAAGCAGGTTTTGAAAACTTGTTTTTGTTTTGGAAGTCAAAAAGATATATATGCATTTAGAATTCAGGTAATATTAGGTTGGTGCCTGTCTTAACGGAAAATAGCAGGCTTTCCAATATACAAACTTAATGCAATCCCTATCAAAATACCAATAGCATTTTTCACAGTACTAGAACAAACAATTCTAAAACGCGTATAGATCCACAAAAGATCCTGAATAGTCAAAGCAATCTTGAAAAAGCAAAGCAAAGCAAAGCTAGAGGTATCACAATTCTGGACTTCACATTATATTACAAAGCTGTAGTGATCAAAACAGTATGGTACTGGCACAAAAATAGACACATAGGTCAATGGAACAGAACAGAAAATTCAGAAATAAACCCACGATTATATGGTCAATTAATCTTTGACAAAGAAGTAAAGAATAAAACCAATGGGAAAAAGATGGTCTCTTCTATAAATGGTGTTGGGAAAACTGGACAGCTACATGCAGAAGAATGAAACTGGACCGCTTTCTTACACCACACACAAAAATAAATTCAAAATGGATTAAATAATTAAATCTGAAACCTGAAAAATAAAAATTCTAGGAGAGAGTACAGGCAGTAACTTCTTTGACATTGACTATAGCAACTTCTAGACATGCAACTTCTTTCTAGATGTCTCCTGAGGCAAGGGAAATAAAAGCAAAAATAAACTACTTGGACTACATCAAAATAAAAGGCTTCTGAACAGCAAAGGAAACAATCAACAAAACTAAAAGGCAGCCTATGGAATGGGAGAAGATATTTGCAAATGACATAACTGATAAAGAGTTAGTATCCAATTTATAAAGAACATATAAAAGTCAATACTCCAAAATGAATAATCCAATTAAAAAATGGGCTGACGACATGAACTGACATTTCTCTAAAGAAATACAGATGGCCAACAGACACATGAAAAGGTACTCATCAGAGAAAAACAAATCAAACACCTCACACCTGTCAGAATGGCTAAACTCAGCAACATAAGAAACAACAGGTGTTGGTAAGAATGCAGAGAAAAAGGAAGCCTTGGGCATTGTTGGGGGGTATGCAAACTGGTACAGCCACTATGGAAAACAGTATAGAGATTCCTCAAAAAGTTAAAAATAGAACTACCTTATGATCCAGCAATCACACTACTGGGTATTTACCCAAAGAATACAAGAACACCAATTAAAAAAAAAGAAAAAAATATATATATGTATATACATATATACACACAATTACACACACACACACACACATATATATATATACACACACAATGGAATATTATTCAGCCATAAAAAAGAATGAAATCTTGCCATTTGCAATGGCATGGATGGAGATAGAATAATGCTTAATGTATAATGTCAGAGAAAGACAAATAACATATAATTGCACTCATATGTGGATTTCAGAAACCAAACAAGCAAAGAGGGAAAAAATGAGAGAATGAGAAAAAAAATTAAAAAACAGACTCTTAATTCTAGAGAACTAATGATTACCAGAGGGGAGGTGGGTGGGGGATGAGTTAAAGAGGTGATGGGGATTAAGGAGTATACTTGTGATGAGCACAGGGTGATATATGGAAGTGTTGAATCATTATATTGTACACCTGAAACTAATATTAATACTGTCTGTTAACTACCTGGAATTAAAATAGAAACTTAAGGAGCACCTGGGTGGCTCAGTTGGTTAAGCCTCCAGCTTTGGCACAGGTCGTGATCTCCCAGTTCGTGGGTTTGAGCTCCACATCGGGCTCTGGGCTGACAGCTCTGGGCCTGGAGCCTGCTTTGGATTCTGTGTCTTCCCCTCTCTCTGCCCCTCCCTCACTTGTGCTCTGTCTCTCTCTCTCTCGGAAATAAACAAACATTAAAAAAATTTTTTTTAATAAAAACTTAAAATAATAAAAAATGAACTACAAAAAAAAAAAAAAAAAAAAAAGGAGAAAAGAAAATACCAAGCTTTCAAGTCACTGAGAGGCCAAAGAACATTTGGGGAGATCATTTCCCTTTGTACAACCTGTACCACACTTTTATCTTTTGTTTTTGCAACATCTTGTAACTATAGAATTTCCAGGGCTATTTCTGGACAGTCCCAAAAGATGGAAACATAATTAACAGTGCTCCATATAAAATACAAGTTACGTAGACCATCACACTTTAATTACTCTCAGAATCCAACCCTAATGTAATAGGCATCAAGTTTCTTCTGGAGGCAAACACAGCAGGACCCTGCTAGCAGAGTCTAGGAGATCTCTCTGATACTTCCGCATGGCCTTGTCACTGCATGGAGATACATGCTGTGATAAACGAATGAGATGATGCAATTAGGAAGCAGGTTCTTCAGGTTACCCTTCTAATCACTCAGTCACGTCATAGCCATCTTCCAGCCTGCCTGGTTTTCTAGCACTGCAGCCCCAGGATGCCTGAGGAGAACAGCCCACGCCAACCAGGGACTTGCAACTCTGCACTGTAATTACCTCCTTGAACGATAAGGCATAGAGAGGTCACATCCTGCCAATGCCACAATAAATTAAACCAAATAACACCCTCTGGAATCCTCCTCTGACCATAATGGAAGCTCTGAAATCTACACACAGGATCCTGATAAATACTTTTGTAGATCAACGGCCTTCGAAGCTGTCTGCCTAGGGGAGATCAAACTATAAAAGCTGGAGACTTGAAGGCTGTGTAAGGGCACTGTTCCGTGGGGGTGCCTGCTTCCTGGCTCTCAAGCCCGAGGACCCAGGTAAAAAGGACATGGGGGAGGTTCAGAGAAGAACCACAGGACCAATGAAGGGCCGCAGAATCAAACCAACTCAGAATGTCGATAGAACTGGAATTTATCCACAGGGAGAGGATCTAAAGACAATTTAATAAGGACCCTGACAGCAAGGAAATAACTCAGGTACTATATTTTGCCACGGAAAAAGGACTAGAGAAAATTAAATTATACCATCACATTTACGTTAAAAATAGAAATAGAGATTTACCTGATAATAAAAGTAATGTTTGAAATGGGCTATATAAACAAACACCTTTGTTCATTTTGAATTTTACTATAATTATTATTATGTAAGGTGCATTCTTATTTCTCACCTAGTAAGGTACTATGCAACTCTTTTGAATGGTGAGGTCAAGCAGTCATTTTCCTAAAAACAAAAACCTCTCTGCTGCTCTCTCAGTCTTCTGTCCCTATCTTCCTTCCTTCCTCCCTTCCTTACTTTTTTTTTCCTGTCAAACATTGCAAACTTCAAATCAGCTGGGTTCAGTTTGTGCCACTTAACTTACAGGTCCATGGCCAACGGTGACTATAGCACCATCCACAGTCACCTGGGAGACCCCAGACCGTGAAGGCAGAAAGAAGCCTATGGAGTAAGAGAGAAAGCCTGGACAGTTACATATGAGAGCTGGGGGGTACCTACAAGGAACAATGGACATAGGAAGAAGGCAACTGTTTCAATTAGGATTCCCTAACACAGCCTCCAATTTGAAAGAGAAAGAAAACAGGATGTTCCAACTGAATTATAAAAAATAGAAGGTGTCTGGGAGGTGGGCATTGTGGAAACTGAGCCAACCTCAGAGCTTCCCCCTTCCAAAGTCTCAGCTCAAGTGGGGAGGTGAATACACTCTCCTGCCAGTTTCCTTGCCCCCAACTGAAGATCTGACTTCCCCATCTCTGAACTAATTTTCTCCGTCTGTACAGCAGGAAGAAAATCTGTGCGCCCTATCTTCCCCAGGTTATGACAGCTAATGAGAAAGCATGTTAGAAACCACAGGGGTTCTGGTAAAACAGAGGCACAGGGAGCAAGGCACCTCCCTTAGTTTTTGACTGGTTTTTTCAGGCAGCATTGGTCTTTATTCCTGCTCTTACAAAAATGCACATAAATTCCACAGAGTTGCCTCCTACAAAAGGAAAACAGCCCCACCCCTCAGGTTCTGGGGGCTGCCTGTGAACCCTGCCACCTAACACTGGATTAGGCAATGAGGCCATTCCATTTGGCCCACTGAGCCCCCAAATTCCCAGGCCCAAGAAGTCCCAAGTACAAGGGAGGATAGGCGAGCCACATCAGGGGAGGAGGGTTCAAGGCTGGAAGGCTTATACCAAAAGAAAACTTACAGAATTCTTCCTTGTTTTTGTTGCTTTAATATTTCTTCTAGGGTTTTGTTTTATTCCTCCTCTCATTCATAAGATCTTCATTTTTTAAAACTAACTTTTCATATGGAAATAAGAAATATTGTTTGAAAACAGTGTGCTCTAATATCAATTCTTGTGAATATGCAATAGAAGGTGCATCAGTCAAGTAAATCTAGAAGCCCCCATTTTCAATACACGCTCCAAGTATGCAGAAAAGCCCGGCCACTGGTATTTCTACAACAAAATGCAGATACATTAAAATTCTCTGTTTACATTTCCCCTTGCTTTGAGAAAAAGAGATGATACCCAGCATCCTCTTTAAGGAGTTTTCTCCTAATCAAAGCCCAGCACGTACCAGCAATGAATCTTTCAAAAAGCATTCGATCCTTCTCAGGAAATTTCTCTCACTGGAGATTAGCTTTTCAAAAAGATGCAGTGTTGCTTTTTCAAGGCTGGGAAGGTGCCGAAGCCAGAGGCAGATGACAGCTGATGTGGGGAGAGAAATCTTCTTCCTTTCAGCAAAAAACAAACAAAATTTTAAACAGAAGAGGGTTACTGAGAAAGCAAGACTGAGAGAGATCAAAATGCAGTCACGAATCCAGCTTGTGAATCTTTTCATCATGGTCAGCAGCAGTTAATATTTATAGTATCCATGAAATTCACCAAGTGTCCATTTGCAAAATAATGTGAATTTGCTTCCAATTCAACTCAAGAAATCAGAGAAATGCTCAAAGGAAAAAAAATGCTTTCAAAAAGGATAAACAAATATCAGTGAAGGAAGAAAGTGATTAAAAAATAAGATGGAGGGGCGCCTGGGTGGCGCAGTCGGTTAAGCGTCCGACTTCAGCCAGGTCACGATCTCGCGGTCCGTGAGTTCGAGCCCCGCGTCAGGCTCTGGGCTGATGGCTCAGAGCCTGGAGCCTGTTTCCGATTCTGTGTCTCCCTCTCTCTCTGCCCCTCCCCCGTTCATGCTCTGTCTCTCTCTGTCCCAAAAATAAATAAATAAACGTTGAAAAAAAAATTAAAAAAAAAAAATAAAATAAGATGGAAAAAGGCCTTGAGGTATACATCCCTAATTTAAAAAAAAGTTATGTTTGGAAGACATTTGTTGGGATGAGCACTGGGTGTTATACATAGGGGATGAATCACTGGATTCTACTCCTGAAATCATTATTGCACTATATGCCAATGAACTTGGATGTAAATTTAAAAAAAAATTATGTTTTAAAGTACATCATAAAGATTTAATATGTGTAATCAGACCTGGGTTTGAGTCCCAGAGCTACCACCGACTAACTGGATGGCTTTTGAGAAAATTATTTAACCTCCAAACCTCAGCTTACTCATCTGTAAAATGGGCCTATCTCCCTCATAGTGTTCTCAGAAGTATCAAATGCAGTAATTATACATGTACAAAGATTAGCACAATGCTTGACATCTAGTAAACGTTCAGTAACTGTATTTGCAAATCTGTTGCTTGAAAGTTAAAAAAAATTTTTTTCCTTTAGTAACAATTTCATATATGGTGGTTATGACCTGGTAGATCCAGAGCTGATCCCTACCATGGTACTCTGGGCCCCAAACATTTTGTGGAGCTGTGTTTCCATAGAAGAAGGTATGTGGAGGTTCCTCCTGTGTCAGGTCGGTGAATCAGGGGTTCTACCTCCTGGGAGGTAGAGTGAGGAGACACCTGTCTAACTCTGAGCCACTGGTGGCCGTCCCCACAGGGCCCTCCCTGTGAACAGTGGGCCTGTTCTGGCCTGGTGAGACTTCTCTTTCTTCTTTCAGCCCTACTTTCCCAAGGAAGGCCTCCTGCCTCTTCACCTGCAGCACCACAGACAGCAGAGTGCTTTCCAGGTTCTGCCAAAAATGTTTACTGCCTTTAGTAAGAAAAACAAAAGCTGAGGGCACAAAGCCTCCCTATTACCCAAAAACCCCTTCAGGGCTTTCCCTTCACCATGGCTTCTGGGCCATTTCTCTGCAGGAGCTGGCGTGAAGCCCAGGGAATGGGTGCAGGAGCAGGAAATGAATAGGCGGAGTCACGGTGCAATTTCTCGTGATTTCTCTTTTTTCTTCTCCCTCAGCATAACTCCTGCAGACCTCTGTCCTGGATTAACTCTGGGGCAAGGCTAGACAAAGCTGATGAGTTGGAATGAGTCTCACAGAAGCAAACAGAGGGCAGGATAAAGGCCCCCCTCTGACTCTCTGATCTCACATTCTCACCCTGAGCTTCAACTCTCCTGGGAAGTCCTGCTGGACCCCTTTCCCCCATCTCCCCACGCCTGGCAAAGAACAACTGCCATGGTGCCCCCACCCCTGCATCACCTGGCACATCTGGGGGCCACACCATGGATGCCACTGGTGCTCTAGGCTGCAATTCCCATGCCACCTCCCCTGTTATAATCAATGGCAAGGAGCTGGTGGTCATTCACTCAAGGAAGATGACGGAACACTTCTGTGTGCCAGGTACAGGCCAGAAAACTGGGAACAAAACAGACTAGGTCTGTTTTGGGGCCCGGTGGGAGGTACACATCACATACACACACCAAAACTGAGAAAAAGGCATTAAAGAAAAGGACAGGCTGAGGTAAAACAGAATAAGAGAAGTGTCCCAATTTAGATTGGGTGGTCAGGGACCGCCTCTCCAGCTGAGCTGAGATTAGCTAGGTGAAGAGTAGCCAGAAGGGCATTCCAGCTGGGGGAATGGCAGCTGTGATGGTCCCGAGACAGGGAAGAGCAAGGTCAGAAGAAGAGAGAAACCCCAGAGTGCAAAGGTGAGGTGGCCTGTGATGAGGCGGTACCAAAGGAAGGAAGGCTCTGGGATTCTATTCAGTGATTATTCTGGCCTGAAGGACTTTACACAGAGGAGTGCCAGGATGTGAGTTACAGTCAAAGATCACTCCAGCTGCAGCACAGAGAACAGAGTGCGGGACTAGAATGGGTGCAGGGAGCCCAGGGGGAGCTGGTAGCTGGCGTGACCCAGGTGGCAGTGGAGAAGTGAAGAGTATCTGGAATGTATTTTAGCAGTAACATCAAGAGGAACTGGCAATGAATTTGATGAGAGGTGGTGAAGGTAGATAGGAATCAAAGTTGTCCCAGGTTCCTTGAGCAACGAGCTGGATGGATCTAGCATTACTCCAATGGAAAGAAGGAAAGAGAAGATTTGTGAAGATTTACTAAGAGCTCAGTTTGGGGTGTACGAATTTACTTGTTTTTTAAATGTTTATTTTTGAGGGAGAGAGAGAGAGAGAGAGAGCATGAGCAGGGGAGGGGCTGAAAGAGAGGGAGACACAGAATCTGAAGCAGGCTCCAGGGTCCAAGCTGTCAGCACAGAACCTGACATGCGGCTTGAACTCACCAACTGGGAGATCATGACCTGAGCTAAAGTCGGATGCTTAACTGACTGAGCCACCCAGGTGCCCCATTTTTTTAAATTTATTTTTTAATAGAATTTAGAATATCTGAGGAGCGCTCAAAAAAGAGGGATAAAGTAGGCCCTTGAATATCCAAGTTCAAAGTTCTGGGGAGCTATCTGGGCTGAAGTTACATATTAAGGAACCGTCAGCCAGCATGGAGTGACACAAGAGTGGAGAACTCCAAGGGCCCATCGGGGAACTCCATCAGGGAAGAAGAGGGCCCAGGTCTGTGCCCTGAGCAGTGACAACAGGTAGATAAGGAGGAGTTGCAGACAGAGGAGGTAGGACATACACAAGCAGAGAATAATGTCATCCAGGAAGAGAAGGAAGGTCTGGCTCTGATCAGCACTGCTGAGACTGAGGACATGGGAGGGGAGGGAACCACATGCATTGCACTGGACAGGCCCCCTCTGACTTCCCCAAGGTCATGGTTTTGATAGATGCCAAGAGCAGTCAATGAGAGAGGATGGAAGTGCAGCCATTACTGGTGACAGGTCTTCAGAGGGACAGCTGTGACAGAAGCAACACCAGGAGGCTGCACAGAGGTGTAGTGTGTGGGACAGCAGAGCTGACTGGTAAGCCAAATGCAGAGGAACAGGAGAGGCTTAAAGACTGGTAGCCACCATTTATTAAGCATTCACCTGAAACCATGCTAAGCATGTTAACTGTAGTTTAATCCTACAAAACAGGTACCATTATTATCCTTATTTTACAGAAAAGGCTACTGAAGTTGGAGAGAGACCAAGGACTCACAGCTACAATCTGAACCCAGGAGGTCTGATGCTGGAGCTGGTTGTCTACCTAAGGTTATACACGAGCCTCTCCACTCTGCAGACTGAAGAGTGGAGGTGCTGCTTGGAACAGGGGCCCGGGCCCAGGGGAGCAAGCAGATGGACTTCCCATGTAAGCCAGATGCCCAGATGCCTGGACCCTGTGTTCACTCCCTCCAGTATTTAGGGAAGTCTTTTCAAAGTCTAGGCTGTCAGCCAGTTTTAGTCACATTAGTAGACCCTTGGGAGCGGTTTCCATCCAGCTTTCTAAAGTAGAACACTACTGGGCAGGGGCTAAGGGGATCTGTAGCCTCTGTCATGGAGCCAGGAAGCCCCCAAGAGGCAGGAAACTCTGAGGTGCATAGGGAACATGGCTGCTCAGTGGCTCCTCCCTTCCCAAACAGCAGGGATGTCTTTTGACCTGCATTCACCACATGTTATCTTTTTTCAGGATCCATATGAAATAATTATGTACATCATTAGAGAAGTTTCTCACTTCAGTGACAGTTTTCAGGCAGCACCATTCCTAGGCTCTCAGAGCAGCTGTGAGCATTAAATGTGATTTTTACCATCAGGTCACAGTGGCTGAGTGATGCCTGGCAGCACAAAGGTAGGAGCTGTTGGGAATGAGCAGTAGATAAACATGAACACATGTAACAAGGAAACTAAGGTAAAATGGTAGTTCCACCAAATATCTGAAATAAAAGATATTGCTTAAAAATTTATATAAGATCTGCAAAATTACACATTCAAGTCAGCAAATACATAATGCTTTTGTTCTATTCTCACACTTTAAAAAATGTGTATGTTAACAATTATCTTTTATTGCCTCTGATTCAGACTACACTCGATTATTTGCTGTGAATTATTAAATTTATGGACCCATGTTTAATATTTGAATGAAAACAATCTATTTTGCCCCCCAAACACCAGAAAATAACTTTTTATAATCAATACTGGTTGCAGAAATCACCAAGTCAATATGATCTTAATATATTTGCATAACAGAATTTGACTGGACCAACATATTCAGATTATATAAAATGTTCTAAAAGTGTACCAGGTTGGTTTTGAAATAAAAAAGGCAAATTACATTATATGTCAATTATATCTCAATAAAACCAGGGGGGGGGGAAGGCAAATTACCAAAGAAGAAATGCAAAAGGCCAATAAAAATATGGAGATTTCAACCTTGTTAATAGTAAAGCAAGGTAAACTAACATAGCTATCATTTTCATCCTCACACATCAGTAAAGTTTCAAAGAATGACATCCATGCTGAAGTAGGTACAGGGGACATATGTTCTCAGAGGTGAGACAGGGAACG